AGAAACCACTCGACTCGCCTCGACTGGGGATTTTCGGTAAACGCCCCTTTCTCCGGCGGGGCACACGCTTGCGCGCGGGCGGCGGGCGGCGAGAGAGCGAGAGGGAGTCCCCTGGAAACCAGGGCAGCGGGTCGGCGAGACACGGGCGCGACAGGGCTGCGACCGCCCGCCCGCCCACCGTGAGTCGCAGGAAAGCAGGAGCGCCCGTGGAGTGAAAGCGGGCGCCGCGGTTGGGGTGGCGGTGAAGTCGCGCGAGCCGCTGCCGCGACGATGCGTCATTGCAACGCCCGCGAGAGCACAATGGGAGGTGACTCGTTCCGGATGCTGTGGGGCGCCGCGAACGAACGGGAAACAAAAGTTGCAATTGATATTGAAACTGGCAGATAGGTCCGAATAAAACTTTATTTTAAACTTATTTGTGTGTATTTTAAACTTCACTTAATATACACATTAATGAATTCTAATCAAATATGTAATATTCAAATAAGAATGCATATATTAATAAATTAGTATTATTTTCAAAAAAACGAATTATTAGTAAATGTTATGAACATTAGAAAATCAAAATAGACTGTGGAAAATTGATAGAAACTGTGAAAATCAAATCACTAATCTTGACATTCAAAATTTTTCCTTGATTGATTCCATATTTTTTCTTTATTTCAACGACATTTTTGCTATTTCTTTCATATATCATAATTTATAATTCTGTTTTGTTTCTGTCTTAAACCTTGAAAATAAAAAAAATGAGGGAAGTGTTACACTTAGTTTACCACAAAAAATTTCACACTATCATGACAGTCCGAAATTTACCCTTCCAACAATTTCAAACTGTGTGATAACGTCATATTTAAAGACCTAAGATTGTACATCAATACCAAATTGTTTAGTTCTTGTAAATTTCACTGAATATGTAAGAAGTTCCCTACCATTTGAACCACGTTCTTTAGAAACACGTTGCATGGCGAATGAATGAACACGTGTACAAGAGTTACCAATTGGGATTGCGTTTCACACGGAAGTAAACCGTAACGAACTTTTACCGGACACTTTCCAAATATCACTGATTATAAATGAAATAACGTCAAGGAGTGACCTGCTCCTTTCAAATACAAACAACTTCAATTTTGAGCCCAATGTCACGACTTTATGCGCCTACTGGAATTCCGCAGTGGCTCAGCGTACACTCCCTGCACTGTAAAGTGGAACATCAAAATATCAAGATAGTTACTTTAACAGTGTAGAAAAAGAAAATGTCCTCCAACTTTAAATGATACTAGTTTAAATTTAACATCATCAAGTTAACAACTTTATTATTTCGCATTAATTATTGCTTCTTCTTTTTCTTCTTTATGACTACAATCTTCCATATGCTTTGGCCTAAATACAGTTTGAGTTACGTTCGTACAGTTCTGAGTGCCTTTTCTTGAATGTGCGATGTGGTGATGAAGGGTGATAGGGTGATAGGCTCAGAGGTGATAGGAAATAGGTAGGGGGAAGTAGGATTGGAAAAAATAACGCATATGGTACGTGACTCTTTGTTACTTTTCTGACTGTTCCCCGGTGTTAAATGTAGGAAACAACTATACAATTATAACTAATGATAATAATTATCGTTAGGATCATTCTAGCATGGGCGCCATTCGACCCCACTACCTTCTTAGCTAATGTCGATAAATTCACCACCATTATCGGGATTCAACATAGGAGCCCCACGCACTATGACCTTCAGAAACGGACTCGCATCTACATACAATTGTACACATTAGTACACACGCAGTGTACTGCCGACCTGGATGGCCGAGGTGGCTAGAGCGTGTGGCGACGCAGCGCCTCGGTCCGAATGGTCGCCCTTGTCTTTCATGTATGTGTATTGCTGCGGAAGGCCTTGTAATTCCCTTGTAATAAGAAACCCGCAAGCGTGACTACTATAAAGGTTAATACGCGGGGGACACAGCGGATACCTTGCGCGGATAGTCAAAATCAACATCTCATGAAGCTGTAAAAAAAATACACTCAGTGTACTAATAAAACAACGTCTTTCCCCCACAACTATTCACTTTTACGTGCCGCCGACCGTAGCAGGGGGGACCTTAGAAAGTGAGTGTCACGGGCGGCGAGCGAGCAGCGCGGCGCGGCGCCGGCTCGCAAAATTCGTTGAGTCACCGGCTCCGCCAGGGGGGCGTGGCCGCAGAATTCCGCGATTGTGAAGAGCTGTTGGTCGTTATGCGAGCGGAACACTCGGCTGCTGCTCTGGCTACGGCGGCAGCGGCGATTGAATGATATAATCTATTTCACGGTGACTGGGCGGTTCGTCGCCGCGCAAAGCGGGTCGCGAGCGCTTTGCTTAATGGATCACAGGGTCAGGGACACTTGTGGCCGCCGGGAGCTCTCGCTGGATGGGAAGGAGGTTATAAATGTGCAGAGTAGTACGCAAACAACAGCGTTCGCGATTGGACATTGCGAGGCTAACAAAGAGATCTGGCGCGCCTGATACATTGTGTTTCTTGAAAACGGTAGACAACATCAGAACAATAATTTAAGACGCGCGACATGCAAATTTCTAATACAAAAACTGATTGTTATATTTACTATATTACAAATTATAAAGCGGCCGTAAATTGTTTTTCCTTTTCTCTAAATGTTTCGTGTTTCATGAGTCATGTTCTAGAATCGCTGATATCGCCGATAATGTGTTTCCTCGCGTTATTTTGAGATGTACCAAACGACTTTTCTAAAATTGTGTATATTATATTATTGTATATGAACTTTTGAATAAACATTAGTATAGGTATTTAAATATTTTTGATATGATTGACAAATACAAACATAAAATCTATGATTGACTGCATCTACAAAATCTAAAAAGAAGGAAAAAAGTGGAAAAGTGTATTCTGTCGGGAAGAATCAAAATTCTTTTAAAGAAAATATAGAAAGAAGGAGTAATGCAGAAAAGATGTCATCACGTTTCAAAAATATTTTAGTTAGTACGTGGGAGACGCATTTCGATTAGTTCTGCCGCGTTGCAGACGACAGTGTTGACGCGGTCCATCAAGTGATTCTTCAAACTCAGAGAATAAAGAATCAAGAACGTATTTCTAGTACTGATGTGTAATTTTAAATACTTATCATGGTAATTAATGGGTGAAACCTGACGGACGTGAACTTGGGTGAACATGAACCGCCGTCCCATTTTATGAGTATGTGATCGTAAATTAGTCCACCCTCTGTGTCACATGTTTGTGTTCTCTCTAAGCATTCTGCTCAATCTAGTTATAATGAAGCTCCGTATTCTAATGCAGTATATTTCCTAAAACTATTTTTGAGTTAATAATTACACGTAGTATGTTTTTCATATATCAGATTACCGAATTGGAAAATACTCTAAGCCGACTTTACATTCGGCTACCTTTAAAAGCAATTTAATGATAAATCAATTTTTTGATACCTTTGAAAGCGATAAAGCGATCCACGGAAGTTTCCTCGTTTATCCATCTTCCTACGGAATCGAGGTTCCAGTACAGCAAAATATTCACTCAATTCTCCGATCTATCTCATCTCCAAAATTTTTCTACACACTTCTCGGCATGTTCTCCTCGAATGTGCTCCACAAATTCCCTCTCACGTACACCACATCTTACTCTTGTTCATCATATGTTTGAATAGATTTAGTAGACTTATAAACTTAGATCCACAAAGTAGTTTTAGATTTGTTCGTACGTATCTAGTATATAAGCTAGGTCATAAGTGTTTTGTGTAAATATAATTTAAGAATAAATATGAAAAATGGTCACATTTTCCCTTGCATGTTCATATGTTCCCTCGAATGTTTCGGACACGATCTGTCACATGTTCACTACATGCACCTCCCACATGTATGATCTTCTTCATGCACCTCCGCACATTCCCTAAATAATACCTTACGTACCCTGGGGGAGGGAAGTAATTCACTACAAAGCAGTTACGCTTACGAGGTTTTGTGTCCATGGTTTCTTATAAATGGAAAACTTCATCACCTCTTCTTAGCGTAATATGTAGAGGGAATAGTTGAAACTTATATTTGTGTCGATTTTCCATAAATCTAGCAATTTTCATCGATTTATAAATAGTTCTAGATTCATTCTTCTTCCAACAATATAATTGGTGGATGGTTATTTATAAATGTTGATAAATGTTTTGGAAAGTATAAGTATTATCAAAATATTTAGACATTCTGGGTGGTCTGAAATAAAATAAACGATGGCTTTTGGAATAACCTAATTATCATCACATCTTCTCAATATGCACATCACTTTTAAACCTTTCTCAGTACATACTACAAAAGATCCACGAACGGTATCGCATGGTTGAATTTCGCAAATTATGTTAAAAAAATTCACACAACACTCTCAAATCTGGAAACACACTCCGTGTATCTCTACCGTGCGAGAACCTTCATAGATATTCTCCACTTGCACAGCTCATAATCCCGCATTAACATTCGTTTCAGGTCTCGCATCCTTCGTAAACAAGTGCCCCGCCCGCATCGAGAAGACTGGTTCTCCCAATAGCCCAAACGCAGTCGCCTGGCGTGCGAGATCGACGGAAGACGAGCGGCGCGAGCAAACGGGCCGGCGAGGGGCGGGGCGCGGCGGCCGGCGCGGCCCGGCCGCGGCGCGGCGGGTACAGCTGTGTGGGCGCGTCTTGGCGTGGCGAGCGGTGGCGGCGAGAGGGAAGCGACGCGAGGTGGCGGGCGACTGGATGGACGATGGTGGTGACGGTGATGGAAGGCGGCGGAGGTGGCGACACCGATGGGTAGATGTGGGGTCCTCTGGCGGGCGTGTGGGGGTGTAAGTGGCCGTTGGCGGGTGCAGCGCGGCCGCGCGCAGGGCGTCGGCGCGTGGTGGTCTGGGGGCCTGAAGGGCGGCATGGCGTTGCGCCGAAGGCTGCGCAGACGCAGTAGAGGGGGCGGCGACTATGCGGCTGAAGCCCGGCGGACGAGACCTGCGCCTTTCTCCAGGTCACCGCTTGCAGGCCGCAGGTGCCGCCAAGCGCCCGCAAGGGCTCCGGGATCTCCTCGCGGCGCAGAGAAGGGAGTGGATGGATGTGTGAGGCGCGCTCTCAGGTGTGTAGTTGCCGACGCCGACGCACAATGCACACAAATACCGCACCACGCGGATGCAGGGCCGAGAATAGCCTTTGTAGCCATCACAATTTCGGTGCTAAAGTCACAGTTTATATGACTGAAACAGTTTGCAAGCGATCGTTCAAACCTTAATTTGTTGTTATGATGCACCGAGAAAAATATCTATTCAGAATCTTTAAAATAGTATAAATAACTAAGTTTGAATGTTAAAATATCGATGTCGGTATTTTGCGGGAGGACGAATTTTCTAGACAATGTGTCGCATGAATTTGATAAGACTAGCATTATTCATTTTGCGTGCTTCGGGGAAGTTGCTAATTTCCTAGAGTCGAGGTAGAGTTGCCATTAATATGATCTCAAGATTTGATGAAAACGTTTGGGCATTCTTCTGTGGTGCACTTTCTTCTGTTTAGAACGGGGTTATAGTAAATAAATTTCATTATATATGGCCATGTCCACATCATATTAACATGTGCCTGCCGAATTGGTGCAGGAGTTGGGAGCGGCGTACAAGTTTAAAAAGCTGAAGGTTCTAATCCCACATTAAGAGTGGTTGTTTCACCTTGAGATTGTGACATGGTTGCTTTAAATATTTTTCTGTCGCACCCCATTCCCAATTATTAATACAAAATAATCATTCACTGCTTACGATCACCCTATATTTTTCATTGGATGGAAATTAAAGGAAATGGGTAGCATTCCTTTTGAACTTTCTCTGTTGTGGTTGTGTCTGCATATACGTAGAATCATTTTTACGTCCACTGTTTGATGTTGCAGGGGAAACGCCCACAAAGAGACGAAGAATCCCGTTCCCGAAGAGAAAGATAAATCCTTACGCTCAGCGTATTGCTGAATCACCTTGCTTCTCAAGGAAGTGTTTATGGTATGAGTATCTCTCCTGGGCAATTGTATTGGTCAAACTACGCAGGAAATATCTGAAGGAAATTTTAAAAGATTCTTTGTTAAAATATTTTGCATGCAATTCACAGAAAACTTTTTTCGTCTTAAACAAACATCCTCCATTAGTGCATCTGGCCATCGTCAAAACTTCTCACCCTCGTAACATATGTATTATTACATTTAAATTATATATTAAACAAATAGAAATTATGAGTTAAAATTATAAGTTCTAATTGTGTAGCACCGATAGATCTCACATACGTCAGAATATTTAATATGACTTTGAAAATAAAACAGCATTTGAAACAAACCGATTTTTTCGAAAAAATCCCACTTTTTTAGATTGAAACCTATAAATTTCAACGCATATTATGCTTCAAAATTTCATATTAGAATGTGCAATTATTTGTGCATTTGTTCTATTTGTTTCATCTTGATAAGAGGCAATGTCAGACAAATCTCAAACAAACAATACATCAAACAAAAAAATGCTAGATATAGCTTGAGTTAGCTATAAGCTTGTTCTTTTCCTGTAGTACTCTATGTGTAGTAGGTCAGGTTATTTGCAATTCTAGAAAGTGTGAATATAATTGGCTCATTTTACAACTGCGCTTCTGAACTCCAAGTTTCAATTCACACCAAACAAGGAAATAAAAAGCAAAGTCCAAAATGTAGGGTAAAGGAAAGGCAATAAACCATACAAAAGTTCTTTCATACAAAATTCCATATTGCTTCTTTTCTCAAATGCTTCACATCCTGGAAATTTGATGTAAAGGTAAAAATCCGCCCGGTTTAATTTTACATGTCATTTTTGGGACACATGCTACTCACACAGTTTGTACAAATGATCACGACCTCACCAATATAAAGCCTTAATAATTATCACCGTATTTATATTTATACTCATCATAAAAAAATGACTTTTGCAGACCCGGGTAACAGAAGTTGCTAAAAGGAAATCGCATAACTACTTTCGCTCGCAGGATGTTTCAGCGTAAATTTGTAAGCATTTGTAACTTGTTTGATTGATTATTTCGTGTTTCTAGACGCGTCAATTGCAGTGGTATTTATTCCCGTAAGTGTAGTGCGTGTTTTTATCACGGGAGTTGGTAGTTTTCTTTCTCCACTGGATGGTGACCTTCACGTCGACCTTGCAGGGTTTTTCTAATCCAGGTTCGTCCCATCACCAGGGGACCACCCAAGCCGGCACAAAATCTAAGCTCCATAATGTGTCATAGTGAATAGCATTTAAGAGTACGTCTGTGTAAGTAAGGGGTGAGAAAAGGTCAAGGAAGAGGAAGGATAGATCACGCGCAGTCGTGACTCTTTTGTCAAGGTACTGCTCCGGCATCCGCTTGGTGTTAATGGGAGAAACCACGGAAAACTACCGATAAGAGTAGCCACTCGCGAGAATTTTTTTCCAGACAGCAACAGAACTCGGCTTAGCTATCTTGTTCGTCCCTAAAATCTTGTCTGGACTCAAATCCTAGATACTCCCGGTCAGAGGCACTGCAGTGGCATCTGTTGATGCCGTAAGTCAGCTCAGCCGGTAACTACGTGAATTCAAGAGATTATCTTACAAAGGGGTTAAGCGCCATTTTTTTGAAAACATATTTTACCGTCTATTTGATTTGACAGGACCACACCAATGATCCATTTATAATTCCGTCTACAGTAGTCACTAGGTGTGTCGAAAGTTATCTTAGTTTTGTGTCAGACAGCCTTTGCCCTTCAAAGGGGTTACGTAGCACAAGTTGTTCCCTCTAATATCCGCTCCTGATTCCTGTAATTCCTTTTCAGGTATGTTGCTGAAAGGACATAGTTATAATTTTACAGTGTATTAATAGCTTGAACTTTTTGTCTGCGGATTCAGTTTTTAAGAGAAGAAAAACTAAAGTGTGATCATTCACATGGGAGACACCGAATTAGGTGACAGAGCAAAAACTGTATTCGTACCAGTGTCTCTAACCACAAGGTTCTAAGGTTTGAGTCCGGACAGTAACAGATTTTTGACAGTCGCTTGATAGTTGGAGGAGAATTGTAACAGGCGTCTATCACTGATCAGTAGATTTCCGTGATTTATCTGCCTAATATCAAGTGAATGCTGGATGGCCTTAACAATCGGGTCAAGGACAGGCGCGATCATTCCTTCCTCATTCTTCCCCACTTTCTTCCACTGCTCTCTCCCTACATACAAAATTACATGAACTACACTACCACTTATGTCGAGAGACCGGTCGGTAGCTTTGTGGTTGTTCCTGCTGCGGCGGTGCCCCTCTGGCGGAGTTACCTAGACGCGGAAAACCACTGAAGACAACTTGTAAATCTCACGTCCCAGTGGGAGAGGAACATTTCCCGTTATGTAACATGCACTACACTTACGAAACTAATGACCATAATAGTTGATGTGCCGGAAACAAAATAATCAATCAATTACGTACGAGACACATTCGTTGTCAAATCCAGATGGTTATTAGAAAATTATTTAGTTCTTTATTGAGTAAAACTAATTACATTCTTTGCAATATGAGTTATTTTGTAAATGCTTAAAACACACGAATTTTCTCAAAAGACGTATGTAAAGTAAAGCCTATAACGCTTGACCTTTCCTTCTTTTTAACTCTAAGTTTTATTAGTTAGTGACTAATTTGTGCATAATTTAAATTTTACAAGTATGTTTCAAATAGAGTTAGAAGTTAAAGAGTTAGAAGGTATTCTAGAACTCAAACTTAGAAAAAATATTCGAAAGGGCAGTGTGTTATCTCCGAAATTTTGTTTTGGCCTTTAGCCAATTTCTTTTCAATATAAAAAATGAGTCTGAGAAAGCAACATTCTCGTGGTCGAAAAAAATGTCTAAACGTAAATATGTGACGTTTATATATCACTTATACTGTAAGAGCTTATTCTGATTGCAATTCAGAAGCATTCTGAAATTTAATTACCATTTCAAGATACTAGAACCAGTCGTAAATGTGTCATAAACCCTGTAAAGGAGACATATGGTACTAACCCTCGCTTCTGAACCATAACACCGAATTTACGCAACGTATTTCAACTAATATTTCCCCGTAATTTATAACAGTCGAGCGTTACCTGCATGACAGCTGTCGCGTTTCTCCGTCAATTCCGCATCCTGCTGCGAAGCAATGGAAGGCGCGCCCACGCCGCTCGGCAGACCGCGCGCCGCGCCGTCCACCTTGATCGGATTCTTGTGCGGGGCTCGACTCTCGACCTCTTTCACGAGCGCGTGCGGTGCGATTGCGCCAGCGCACGCGTGACGCATCGCACGCACCTGCGATCGACCTATCGATCCCGGCCGGAGGCGCGTGGCCTTCCACAGAGCGCACGCGGGGCGGGGCGGGGCGTGGCGTGGCGGGGCAGGGCGGCGCGCGTCAATGAACTGAGCCCCCGGCCGGTCGAGTTGCGTCCCGGCTCCCGCGCGGTGGCAGCTGATACTCGTGCTCCGGGGAAACCCGAGAAGTCGCGATCCAATGCGGCCTGTACGACAAGGCTACTTCGCTGGGCAGAAAATTAATACGACGCTGGGAGGGGGAGAGGGGAAGGCCCGATGCGATATGCCGTCGGCAGACTACGTCACCTTGAGTGAACTGCTCACAAATCTCATGACCGTAACAACCCGCCACCGTTAGAAGTGTACCAACAATTAGTGACAATGTCCCCACTTAATTTCATTCTACGATATAATTATAATTTATTTACGCTAGATTGTTGCGTAGTACAATAATTTAACACGTATTACAAATCATAATTCACATCCTGCATTGTCTTAGCGGTATACTTGATCTTTCGCCATTGTCTCAAACACCAAGTTTGAAATCAGTAGAATATTAAAAAAATTCTTCATGACACACTTGACAGTCCACGAAGGTGATTTAATTGCTGCAACAGTTTCCAGGAAATGAACTGTTGTTTACAATGTTATACATCTTTGCATTCCTCTATTTTAAAAGTAAAAATCGTATACTTGAAATGATTTAGTCATCTATCTTGGAATATCCTATGAGCACATATTAAATTATTAACTAGCCTTTCTTATGAAAGTTTTATCCGTTCATCCTCGGGGAAACGTATGAAAAAAAAACTGCAAATGGTTTTCAAGATAGAGAAAAGTCATTTTTTCTCCCAGAAGTGTAATCTTGGCGTACCATTCCCTGAAATGTAACATATCTGTATTTTTAAATGCTGACTGAATGTGTAGATGACTAGCTCTACTTTACAATGCTTTTCAAAGTGCAACCATTTCTGTATAAAGTGTGAAAGAAGGGTACTCGTATCACTCACATTACCTTCTGTGCACATATATGACACATGAGGAATTTAAGTATATGTTCATAATAAAAATGCGCTTCTATTAAACTCGTAATAAATACCACCATGTAGTTGAAAAAAAACATTAAATTTTGCAAATCATTGCAAGGCATTTTATTAGTAATTTATTTTGAAAATGTGAGAGATAATATTTTAAAAATATAATAACACTACGCAATAAGGAATATGTCATGTTCTTGAAAACAATGTCATACTTCCTCTAAGTTAGAAACGAATATATGAGATGATTGTATTCCGAAAATGTACTACTTTTGACGAAAAGACTTCGTCAAACCATTTGAATAAAAAAAAATAATTTTTATAATAAATAAAATACGTTGCCGAGGTCACTGAGGCTGAAAAGCCGTAGCTGCCTCGAGCTTGAAGGATCGCGGGTTCTAATCCCGCCCTGGATGTTTGTGCGTATCGGTGTACCATTACCGTTACCCCCAATGTTACTTACTGTGGTCTCTACGACTTTAGTAGTTTACAAGAGACCTTAAAAAAGTAAAAATAAAATAAAAACTCTGTGAGCAACTAGAAATACAATTTGTGCAATCAAACAGCAAATTTAACGTGAGACCATGGACAATGTGAACTTAAGGTACCTTGCCTCTCTTCTTCTCCTGTGTCTCCTTCCTGCTAGGTTCGCGGTTCCCAGGACCTCAGCTGCTCTAACAGAGCGCCACCTGTCATCGCCAGTAAAAGCGGGGAAGGTAAATTCACAAATAACGAACTGCGCGAGCAGAGACCGCTTGGAGCTTACGGTCCTCGATCCCTCGTGAACTCTCCCTTCTTCCCGGCGCGCTGTTCAAAGCCTCCGCACAAACACTGGCTGGCCTTCTGGCAGGAAACGCTACCTGGCAAAGTGTTGAGAATGTATAAACGAGAATGAATACAAATTGAGAGAATATTCACAGTTGGAAGAATAATGAATAATATATGTCTATTATATAGTTTTCAACATGCATGTAAGATTTGTCCACAGACGTGATACAAACTGAATAACGGTCAGAAAACGGTATCGCCACCTGTGAAATTTAAAAGTCATTTATGGTTATTTTTAATTTGTTGCTATTTAGTATACGTTTTCCGAATATAACAGAATGTATTAACGAAAGCACATGCATAAGAAATCAAGTGATAGAAAACTTTAAAAAATACAATGTACCTTCTAATTTACTATGACATCCGCCAAAACAAAAAAAAACGGACATCACTCTAGGTGACTATTAGTTGAAAAGGATTGAGCAGAGTTAATATTACCCGACATTAGAAAAAATTATCCCAAAAAATGAGATCGTAAATTGTATTACACTAAAATTTTCTTTTAGAATTACATTTAATTATTTATGGAAGAGAATTATCCCAATAATTGCCGTAGTTCCGTTTTTAACTATTGTTTCAAATTTCCTACAGAAATCTTGTTTCTAATTACGAGTAAGTCAAACTCGTTAACATTGCGCAATAAAGACGTCGGAAAAACAGTTTGGCTAATGGCCACACTGACCTTTAGTTCGCGGGTGATAACAACCAGTTAGTGAAGGTAACTATGGAGCATTACAATGAACATTTCGTCCCAACAATTCAGATTGTAAATTGTTGGTTAACTAAACACACAAAAATACGGATGAGCCCCTGTATATATATTATGGTAATGTAATCGACGTTCTTCGTTAATAAAAAACATGAAAATGCTTTATAGATCGTCCAGAGTTCATTAGGTCTTCATGAAACTAATAAGCTAGTTTACAAAACTATCAAAGCGTATACTTTTAAAACAGACGATAATTCTCGGCATCACCGACTTCTAAGCGGATCTCCCGAGTAGTCAACAGCACAACAGCAAGACTGGCCGCGGAAACCTACGACTTTAGCCGAGAAAGTAGGTCGGCGCTGGATATCACTATGCAATGGCGGAAAACACTCCCATCTGCGGTGATAAAAACATTCACTACACTTATGGGAATAATGACCATAGCCGTTGACGCGCCCTAAATCTCGAAATAAACGATGTGAACTCGCTCACGTTGATAATTGCAGCCCCACCACTGCGATCGAATGGCCTCGACTCCATTGCGTTCCCACCTCCTCAGCCTCCTCCGCCGCAGCCGTGTCCCCGACCCAGCAGATTTACGAGAGTCGCTCGCTGGCCAGAGGTGTCAAACGTAAAAAGGCTACCTCGAGAAGCGGTCAAGAGACCTTTCAGCATCCATTGCCGCAAGGCAACTGTAGAGGCGGCGGGCGCGGCGGGAAGGCGGGGAAGCGGGGTGGCGGGGACCGCGGTGTGGCGGGGGTCGCGGAGCGGCGGAAACG